CCTCTCCTACCATGTAAGAATCCGCGCAAAACTGGTAATGTGTCTGAAAGTCTGGAAAGTCTACATTCCTGCGATAAATCTTACATTCCCAACCCACCTGCGGAGATCATCAATCATACAGTCCAACGACAACCCTTTATACCCCCACCTTACATAACTAAGAATTGTGACTCTTACATCACTGATTCTTAGGACTCACCGTCGGACACCCAACGCCCTGCCTACCGACACCAGCACCCACGTGCAATCCATCAGCGCCCACCTGTGGAGCCTATCGCTTCCAGCCTTGCCACAGTTGAATCTCTGCCAGGGCACGCACCCAGATCTCACGGACTAGATATATATGTATATGGTGTGTATTACACAGGTTTGTCTCGGACAGCTACTATCATATCACCACTTTATAAACTCGATTATTATTTCTGAAGTGGGCCATGGGCAAGTATTTTGCTTCTATTCAGTCACATTAAGTGCCTTGATGAGTTTCGTGGAAGGCAGAATCAGGAACAATGACCTGTCATGTGATAAATTAATAGTGCACAACGGCTTTTTAACACATTATCTGTGACAGTATAGTTACAGAGAACAAGTACCCGCGGGCGTAGCGGTTGTTGTTTTAAACTCCGAATTTGTAGACACGCCATATTACGGTAAATATAAAAACTGCAGTGAATGCCTTCTGCCTCCTCAAGTTCTCTTTTCTCTTTCTTCTTCCCTCTTCCGTGTCTATACACACTTGCAGGCATAGATCTGCGGACTATCTCATGTGCGAAATCGCATCGTACTGCCTGCAAATATGCCATATGTCTGAACATCATACATGCTATAACACATCAATAGGAAATCATAACCATGCATAGGTGCCCAACTCGGTCCCTCTACACATGAACATCACAGATCATCCAGACTCCCGAGTTCCACTCTCCTACGCGCCAGCAAAATCAAACCTTAGACACACTCCACACTTGTTCTCGTCTGCGTTCCCCTATCGTCGGCATTAGTAGCTGACTACACACTTACGCCCTATGCTTCGGTCAACGTCCGGCGTGGTAGTCTCATGGACGACGTCACTTCCGATTACGTGCCGACACGCACTGTACGGCTCGGTGGTGCCTCCCGCCCCGTAGCCAGCATTAACTCAGACAAGGCACTGGGCCGCACTCTAAACCCCACCTCACACCACTTCTGGTCAGCGCTGCGCCCAGCCCCTCTGGCTCTCGCCCCCCTCGCCGTACGGTCCTGCGCTCAAGCAGACCGAGGACCCCCCAGGCTCGGCCAAGCCGAGGCCCCCCACGCGCGCCTACCCTCCTCACACGGCAATGGAACCTCTACGTCGCCCATCTACTCCCCAGCTCTCCCTCACTTGGTCTCAGCTGTGCCGATAGAGCAGGACAGGGCCGACCGCGACGCTCTACCACCGACAAGGCCACCGCTACACCTTGGTGGCACCCCCCACGATGCCGCCGGGCCTCGCATGCGTCGGCTCCTCGAACCTCCACGCCCTGCAAGGACAGGCGTCTCACTGACACGCTCCGAACGCATCCGGTCAGTTTCTTTACGATTTTCTCCGCGTGGCGGCCGCCAGCCACCGCGCGCGTCCGCAGCAGCGTCCCAGCCACCCCGCCCCCTAAGCTCAAAACCCCCCAACCAACAAGTCACTTCATATTGACAAGGCAGACCTGATCTCAATAGTGTTGTTATGCGTTTTGAATGGCTAGCTCATGAGTGCTCCTGCTTATAATAACTGATGATCGTCTATCACCTTGTTGGCATCGCAGCAGCATCTCATTGGAGGATGACCTACAACGGTCTGACCACGCCCTACCACGTACGCTTGTCTACAAGCAGCATCCTGTGCTCTAATGGCCCTATCTACCACGTTGGCGCCGTCGCGTCCCCCTCATTAACCCTTCCAGCGCGCCCTCACGCCCTGCCTGTCTCGTAAATCTCACGGGCAGCTCGTACTGATTATCCACTTCTCGCTCGTGATTCGCTCTCACACGCTACAAATCACCTTCTGTCGCTTCACACCACCCTCTCACTCACTCCAACACTCGTTTCGCGACAAGCACCTCACTCCGCTCCTCTCTCACCCATAAAGGAAATGCAGAAATACGAAAATAACACATACTCTCTCCAGCACATCTGGACCGAAAAAAATGTACTTGTTTGAATTCTGCATCTCTCACTCCACCCCAGTGGATGTTTGCGAAGTTACCTAGCTCAGTCCCGACACGATCAAGCGCTCTCTCCCTCGCGGCCATCCTCCATAATGATCGTCTCCTCACCACTAACACGTGCAGGCCTCACGCTCGCGCCACTAGCTCCGCTACCGCGCGGCCACCATCACTGCATACCTCGCCGCATACATATTCCTCGCCTGACGCAGCACGATCACAAAGTCTCTCCGCCAGAATCGCGCTCGTCTCGGCACAGGCCGCCACCGCCCCCCGCCGGGCTATCCATGCCCCGACACTACGCCGTTGTTCGCCCACGCTCGTTTTCCTGCGGATCAGGCTCTGTCTAGCAGCGAGGGTTCAGTGACTCGATTGTTCGCAACGTGAGTTCCTTGCGATCGGTTGTTCCGCAATGCCGGATCCTCGCGACTCGCACATCACCTGATCTCTGCACGAGTTGCGTCTCCCTTGCGATCTCGAGCCTTCGTCTCGCACGTGCGTTCCTGCACGCACTTCCGGCCTTGGCTCTCGCAACGAGGCTTCCGAGTGATCGGTTGTTTCACGTGCTTCTGGCGATCTGGTTGATCTCGAGCGCACGTTTCCCGTGATCGGTTGTTCGCACGTGGTTCCTGCAATCGGTTGTGCACACGCGGTCCTCCGCATCGCCTTGTTTGCCATGCGTTCCTGCAATCGGGGTTGTCGCACGCACCGATTCATGCCGATTGCGTTAAGGGTCATTTAAAAAATTAACTAGATTTGTATCAACCAATGGGACGTTGGGAGGTATGCAGGCCCTAGCCGCGAGTCCTAGCAGGTGAGGTCTGCATTCTACCTGTGGATCACAGCACACCCGTCGCCACTGACCACCTGTAACAGTACAGCTAATAAACCAGGGGCTCGTTGTCAGAAACAAAATTAGTATCAACATTAGGCCTAACCTCAACTCTTTCCGGCCGATGGGACCTTTGTACACTGCGTGTGACAAATTCGTAACGTTACGACGTTTCTGTCGACCGTCTGCGACAAACAATTAATGTTAAGACTACCGTTAAGTCTAGCTAAAGTTGTTTTTATCAGTGGGCCCGAGGGTTCGTTTCGACTCTCATGATCGTAATTCGACTCTGTAAGCAGCGTGACGTTCGACTTTAGAGAGGGCGCCACTTGCAGGGGTTTCGGCGCGGACGCACGCAACATTCCCTATGATCGCTTCTCACACGTGCGTCTCGCGTTTCCGACACGAGGTGGCGCCGCCGTCCTCGTCGCACGGCGGCCGGACGTTGGCGTCGTACTGGCCGGCGCTGTTGAGGTTGCCCGCGGGTCTGTAGAAGACGACGACGGCGATGCGCTTGCCGTTGTGGGTCGCCGCCTTGCCCACCCCGCACTCGGTCGTGCTCTTCCAAACCAGCTGCGTGAAATTCGTCGCCTCTGAACGGAGAAGACAAAAAACTAAAATTTACGTCTGACTCTGGCATCCGTCCAGCGGTACCGGTACAGTGAAATGAAACGTGCCATATTAGATGCGGTGTTTGATGTAGCCTGACTAAGCTGCGAGACTGAGGTCGATATATATATTCTATATATATGACTGTTTCTTGGCTACGTTTGAACCAACTGCGATCGATTACATCGATATTTTTGTTGCATTTTTCTTTTCAAATTATTGCCATTTCTACCCAATATCTACTAGGCTGCGTGCAAACAAATGTGAGTGCAAGTGCAACACTGTTAGCTATGATGGGCTGGTATAAACCGTATATATTTCCAAGCACAGTAGGCAGTCGGGACCTCTTGTCTTTACTGAGTATTCCGCATGTGTGCGTGTACGTGTGTGTGTCAATAGGGCCAAGGCTGTGGTTAAAAAGGTATCTAATGTCTAATGGCGCAAATTCTTAACTATGTGTGTGCGTGCGTGTGTGCGTCTCTCTCTCTCTCTTATATATTATAAGAGAAGAGAGGCCGATTTTCTGACGCAGTAATCTTCGCCGCGGTGAGCATCAACCCCACACCACCGATCTCAGGGTATACTGTATAGCCCGTGTGTCAAGCACCAACATTGGCTTATCCATATTTGTTAAATCCACACATGTTTGTAGATATAATGACGATGAATGGGCCTTAATATGAGCGAAAATTTTAGCAGTGTCTGAATAGTGATGTCAGAAAAGTAGAACAGCCGACTTCCCACGAATGTAGCCATCTAGCGGATAAAAGCCAAAACTTTGTTAATACCAGGTTACACTATGCCAAATTTATACATTTTTTTATTATTCACTCAGTAGTCAGTTGAGTCTCAAAAGCAGCACGACACACACTTTTAGTGGTTAATTTTCGTTCATTTGTATTTCTAAAATTGTAATTTGTCTGTGTATACATTCGGATATAATGTATAACATGGTACTGGTAGAAAGAATTAAGTTTGTTAAAATCAGGTGCTATTCACCTTTTTGATAATTTCATCTATGGTGACTTCACTGGTGCAGAACTCTGCCAAATTGACCAACTAATTTGGTTAAAATGAGGTGATATATCCATACGTTTGGAGAAATATTTCCTTTTTTTAACTGCTCATTTTTTTACGATGAAAGTGACCCTGAACTGATACCGTGCTATGTTGACGGGTTTAGTTTATTGACCTATGTATTTAGTTTAGTTTAGTTTTTATGTATTGTTTTTATGTATTGAGTCCATGTGGCTGGATAGTGTTTAGAATGTGAATCCAGTATGCTTCTCTTTCTTTTCTGATGGGGACCGTATGGGTGAAGGGGGGGGGGGAATATTTTAGAATTAAGTAAGTATATGTGGCTGAATTTGCTCTTAAAAGTTGCTCCTAAGCGTTTTTCCCGAGCAACGCCGGGTACCAGGCTAGTATATAAAGATATATATATATATATATAGAAGTAAAATCACACACGAACACCTATATGTAGATAAAAAACAAATTCAAATAATAGGTAGAAGGTGTTTAAGTTTTAGTACGCGAGCTTTCGAGGCGTACATCTCTTCCTCATGCTGCTGAAAGCCGCAGGAAGAGAAGTATGTCTTGAAAGCTTGCGTATTAAAACTTAAACACCTACCTATTATTTGAATTTGTTTTATATATATAATATATATCCATATATATTAAATGCATGCACATTCGGGATGTGACCCCCCCCCCTCATTATTCACTCACTCCTGTTCCAGCGGGGCTTGCTGAAGTCGAAGTGTCTGCTCTCCTCGTACCAACCCGTGATAACGTTATCAGCCATTGTCTCCGTCTCCGCGCTCTGCGTCACCATGCTGAGAGTTTCTCCAATATCTGCAGGTACAAAGTGTAGGTGCGTACATCCAGGCTGTAGCTGCTGCGTGTAGCACACACACGCGCTGTAGGAAACGGGGGTTTTTCCGTTCTTTTTGTGCATACACCCCCCCTACAGACTGCCAAGTATCGATTGAATAGGCTAGTAAGCAGCTTGAATGACTGCAAGGCGAAATGAAATAGGCACGTACGTCTTTCTTTACAGGGCCAGCCAGCAAGTGTTTTTTTGCGGGACCTAGCTCTTACTCTGATTGAGGGCTATGTTTTATTTAAGACAATAGCCGATCCGTTCATTAAATGATTTATGACCGTGTCCTTGTTTTATACAGTTGGATGGAGGCATTCCCGAGCGGCGGGGCCGAGCTGATGCTGTGCGTGTGGATGAAGCATCGATCCTAACACTGCAATTCTACCCGGACTAGAAAGACGCATGACTGTCGGCAGTTTCGCATTTCCCTCTTATTTCAACCACCGTTCACGCGTCGCCACCGTTTCATTGGCGCTTGAAAATCCTATTGCGTTTTGCAAAGATTAATCAGCTTGGAATCTACATTGCTGTCATTATATATATGACTGTGAATCTATATGACTGTGATAATCCTTATATGGATATTTTAACATCCTTTGTTCTCATTAAAGTAATGTCCTTCTGATCAGAGGTCTATCTTCTTCCCAGCGTACCTCTTCGCAGCAAGACTGAAATCGTTCATTTACGGTTCTGGAGGTGTGCTCGAGGAGTACAGGCATCGTGGTCCATGACCGACCTATTCCATCCCCCCAACCCTAATTCTAGCCCCAAACCATAGCCCCAAACCCTAACCCAATCCCAACTCTAACCCTCACCTTAACCCTAACCCTAACCTTAACTCCAACCCTAACCCTAGCCCTAACCCTTACATTAACCTTAACCACAACCCCAACCCTAACTCAAACCATCCCCCTAGCTCTAACCACCCCCTAACCCCAACCCTAACCTTAACCTAACGATGCTGCTCACCTTTGGTTTCGCTATACTGTAAGAAGCCCTTCTGGGCAATGCTGCCGGCCCATTGCTGGGCCATCTCGGCCAGCTCCCCGCTCCACTGTAGGGGCGCACTGTCATGCTGCGCTCTGCGTGTGTTCAGCGAACACAGACATCGCCACTCGAAGCTGTCTGTGCCTGGAAGCTCGTATTCTGTGCAAACATGAACAACCCTTGCTTAGAACGGGGAAAAACATTGTGGCAAGAACGAGTTCGCGAAAATAACACGTTATTGTTTTTGTGGCGAACATGCATAGTTATGGAGTTGCGTGTAAACATTTCAGCACCGTCTGTCAGCCTTTCGGTCTAAGCGTTAACTTTTGTTGTGGCTGTAGGCGAACGTGTCGATGATTCAGGCTAATTTGTGTGATGATCTTTTAATGTGCAAATGGTTATTGAAAATTTCACCTGCTGTGAACTCGGGTGTTAGTTCTCGTTACGCAAATAAATACCATTTTACGAACTAACAACTTGCATGTTGAAGATTGCTATATTTTCAGGAGATTTTTCTACATATAATACAAAATATATCATGTATTATAGACATGGTACACAATATGAAAGTGTCAATGACACTGTAGCTTACCTTGGGTGTGATAGAAGAGGGAGGGGGGATATATAAAGCAAGAGTATATGTGGGAGAACTCCCATTATATACTCTTGATAAAGATATATGGATAAGTTTTGATGCGAAAATAAATGTTTCAGATCTGAAAGTCTGAAATCTTGACGAGAGATGGCGCTACGCATAAATGATCGCCATTTTGGTTTTCGAATATCGCGCAAATAAAAACAATAAAATATTCCAGTCAAATAATGTAACGAAGAATCTAAAACACAATATTACACGTATATAGGTATTATTGTAGAGTTGTTAACCAGTTAGACGAAATAAACGTAATAGGACGTTGTCATCTCTCCCATAGGAGTAACAACTGTTTTGGAGCTAGCCTTACACATTCATATACCAAAATTTAACAAAATCGAATGAATCTAGATGGCCATTTTCATTTTTGCCAATAAGTGGGCGTGGCTCGAAAGTAGGTTACTGACGTGCTCCAAAATAGGACGTTCAAATCTCTCCCATAGGAGTAACAACTGTATGCAATTTAAAACATGTGGGTCAAACGGTTCTTGAGTTATCGAAATGTTGACGAACGGACGGACGTACGATGGACGACACCCCATGGCAATAGCTCATCTTGACGATGTTAATGTGAGCTAAAAATGCAGGGTTTGTGAGCAGAACAGATCATGGGCACTGAAAGCTAACATTGTGAAATAAGTATAGCAAATTACAATTGCAGTGGTTGCTAATATAGGAAATATACGAATACCCTCCACACCAAGGTGTAGTCACGGACAACAAAAACAACACTCAACCGCATAGAAAATAGGAGTGAATAAACGTTAACAAATTTGTTTTTATTAGTTCCCGATAGAATGTATAGGTCATGGTGCTATCATCCGCTTCTTCATGCATCGTCTGGATAGCAAAGAGCTTATAATGATAATAATCATTATAATTGCTCTTTGTGGATAGTCACGGTCGAGCTGCACTCATGAAATCATGACGTATGACCTTAGACGGCCAGATGAACATTCTCTATGGGTAAGAACAATCCTTGGGTGTTCCAGCCGGGTTTGTGTTGTCGGAGCTTGCACTTAGGATATTTCAATGCGATAGGAAACCTAAAACCGCCCCCCTCGGTGTCTTTCGTGTTTTGTAACGCTTTGTAAGTGTGCATTGCGAGTGCTAGGGAGGCGTGGATTTTGCCGTGGATTGGCTGCTGTACAAATACATGTATATAGGCTCGTGTGTGCGTTCCTTTGCCGTCTGCTCTGCACACTCTTGTATTTCTGCGCTGTGCAGCGGTCCCTGAATACGTGCTAGAGTGACTCACTCACCATCAGCAGTTCTAAGCAGATTGAGAAACGGTAATTTCAGACGGACTTATGCTAGTAGCAGTGATGTATTTTTTGCTGTTATAGGAGTATATAGTTTTGGTAATGAACATATGCGCACATGCATCACACGTAAAATTTGCATATGGTAATTATAGTGTATATATGTAACCAGCAGCTGGTTCGCAGGCTGTCACATCACGCGCACAATTGCAGATGCTGATTATAGGGCCACTCTTTATATTCTGTCAGTTGGCCCCTATAGGTACAGTCACGGGTGAATAATGACAAATTTGTCATTATTCGCCCCTGGTACTATAGTACCTGTACACTGTATAGACAGTTATTTTGAATGAACATGTACCAGCGTAGATAGTCCAGTATATATAGAGGTGACTATCATATATCGGGTATATATCATCACGCCTAGGTCGTTGGCAAAACATACAGTTCATGTTTATGTAACTATACCCTGTAATACACACGGGCAAATACTCTCAACATTATACAGACAGCATTTTTTCAGGATACATTTAAAGTATGCATGTCTAGTAAATTCACAGTAGAGCAGTTTGATAGTTTTTCCCAATGGTAATTCTGTGAAAGATAATTATAAACAACAATAAATATCCCATGATATCCAACATTATATACCATATAGCAATAGTTTTATGTATTATTATCGCTTATTATTACGGATAACACATGAAAACGCCTTTTGCACATCCCAATTGTGAGGTTATATACCCATGCACGCCTTAGAATGTAATATTGGCATACTCGTGATATGCACTCGTCTGCTATTCTATTCTCGTATGGACGCTCTGAGTGCGGATATAGGATCCGATTTCTGAGTAAATAGGATAAAATTTCAGGGGCGGTACCTTCAATGCTACATGTGAGCGTGCGTGCGTGCGTTCGTGCCTGTGCGTGCGTGCATGCGTGCCTGTGCGTGCGTGCATGCGTGCTTGCATGTGCGTGTGCGTGTGTGTATGTGTGAAAGCATCGGTGCGTGCGTGCGTGTACATACCTGCGTTCGTGCGTTCGCCCGTGTGTGTACATACGTCATGATACGTGCGTGCGTTCGTGCGCGCGCGTCCGTGCGTATACACACGGTCGTATAGCGTACTTACGTGGCGTCTGGCTGTCCGCTGGCCAGAGGTAGGTGAGCGGGCGGCGTAGGAGCATACACAGCCACTGCCACGCGTAGAGAATGTACGAGCAGACGACAAGCTCCATGCTGCGAAAACTCCATCGCACACACGCGTCGTGTTTACGTGGCATATCACCGGCAAGACGTCTGTCTACGTCGGTGTACATCTGCTGCTGCTGCTGCTGTTGTTGCTGCTGTTGCTGCTGCTGCTGCTGCTCCTGCTGCTGCAGGTACCGGCGCCTCCTCCCCCCACCCCGCCCCTCTCACGCTAGCTGTCTCTCCCTCTCTCTATCTCTCTTTCTCCCCCTCTTTTTTATCGTCTCTCTCTTACACACACACACTCGCTCTCGCTCTCTCTCTCTCTCTCTCTCTCTCTCTCGCTCACCTACTCACTTTCTTCCACTCTCTCTCTCTCTTTCGCTCTCTCTTGCTTCTCGGCGCGGCTGGAGTCGCACGTGCGCGATGCGGTCTGACAGCGAGTCAGAGGATGCCGTCTGCACACCGGCTGTCTACGGGTCACGTGACGGCGGCCGTAAATCAAGTCGATCGTGTCTGCTGAGCTGCTAACCAACGTCGTGGTTGGTAACAACAACATATCGCAGCTCGTAATATCGCTGTGCTGGTACTCTATGACAGGGGCGGTGGATGTTGCGGGCACGTCACACGTACGCGCGATCCATTCGGGTTTAGGTCGTCGTGTGAAAGAGTGTTCGTTCGTCTGCGGGCGAGCCATAGCATAGCATAGCGTTACATAACGTAGCATATATAGCATAGCGTAGCATAGCATAGCATAACCTACCGTAGTGTAGCATAGCATCAGGAGTGAATGATTAATTACTCGGGATAATAAATAATCAGGAGTGATATATTATCTATTATCGCTAGATCAATTATTATTCACTCCTGATAGCATATAGCGTAGCGTAGCATAGTATAGCGTAGCGTAGCATAGTATAGCGTAGCATAGCTTAACGTAGCGTTGCATAGCATAGCATAGCGTAGCATAGCGTTGCATAGCATAGCATAACGTAGCATAGCATAGCATAACGTAGCATAGCATAACGTAGCATAGCATAGCAGAACGTAACGTAGCGTTGCATAGCATAGTATAGCGTAGCATAGCATAACGTAACGTAGCATTGCATATCATAGCGTAGCATAGCAAGGCGTATAGAATAGCTTAGGTTAGCATATACTATAGCATAGCATAACATGGCCCAGCATCGCATAGTGTAGCATAGCATAGCATATGGAATAGTATTCTATATGCTATGCTATGCTACAATAGCATCGCATAGAATAGCGGAGTCTGGTATCACATAGCTTAGCACGCATATAGGGTTGGGTCATCGCTTATTTTTCAATTAGCGAGACATGGGCATTGATAGACCAATACATCGGGCCCTGAAAATTCTTATAATCTGACGCTATTCTAGGGCCCAGTAGACTTATATAGACAAATTTCGCGCATTTTTGTACAACAGTATTTTTGGGCTGTTTCGGGCCGTGTATGAATGGCCTCTAAAATAATGTCTGATTGTAAAAAAAATTCTAGAGCACTATTTTATTGGTCTTAAACATTGACAGCTCCGCAGCGCATATTCGGAGGGTTCTTTTACATGCGCACGCAGAGCGAAGTTCAGTGCATCTCTTAGCGGCATCGCTTGACAAGAAGCAAACAACCGCGAGTTGACGTATTAATTCTGTTTACTAGCTATGGCTATATAAGTAGGCTACGTGCCATCCACTGTTAGCGACGCATTAATTGCCGTGTTTGTAAAAGCCGGTTTAGACGCTGTACGTTTACGAGTCCTCAAAACGATGTTACGCACGCATGCGCAACGCGATAAGGTATCGCAGAACCCCTGGGAAAATTTTTAACTTGAAGGGGCCCGAGGCATAAACTACACTGAACCGACCTGGGAAAAATCGTAATTAGGTTCTATAGGCGTTCACGTGTAGCGTCTACCATGTTCTGCGCACTGATTCGTGATATTGTAGCTATAGGAAGCGGTAGTGTACGTGTGTGTGCGTGTGTGTGTGTGTGTGTGTGTGTGTGTATGTGTGTGTGTGTGTGTGTGTGCGTGCGTGCGTGCGTGCGTGCGTGCGTGCGTG